GTGCTCGGACAGGAGATCTTGCCGCTGCACTGCGAAATCCAGCCATCGTCAGCGGGAGTCTCGGCTCGGCAGTGCTTCTCTCTGGGAGCTCCCGGCTTACGGGGATGTTCCTGCTCAGCTCCAACACCACCACAAACGTAAGCTACGACGAGGATCAAAGCTCCTACTGCTATGCTCCGGACAGCCATAGCTCCCTAAAGAATGTCACACTGCTACAGCTCTATCTACCCTCACTCTGAACAGAATTTACCACGGGGTGCATGTGAACTCTGGGAGAGTTACAGCGCTTTTCTGACCCAGTGCGTACATTTCTGGCACTGGCAAAAGCAGCAGAGCACAGCTTAGAATTACTTTCAACCAGGTGAGCTAACCTCGAGGGACAAACCAGCTTTGTTTGTAGTACACACCAAAGAACCGAGTCGTGTGTATTCGACGAGCCCTCAACCGGCCTGGAACTGGAATTCAACCCCACTTTAAAAACAAGTCAAAATTTTTGCGTCACTCCAACCCTCAAGAGCAAGAAAACGAAATGCTCCATTACGAGTTCTAGGCCGTTTCTTGCACGGGAAACTCAAATGCCACATCCTTGCCAGTCAGCTTCTTGTAGACACCCGAGTACGTCTCCAACTTGTACTCGGTGCTGTTGCGTTCCTTGGGGTCAAGGTAGACCTGCAAAAACGTTTCGAGCTCGTCACTAGAGCGCCGGAAATGAAGGGGAGTTTTCTTACCTTCAACACTCTGGAGCCATCCAAGCGGTACCGGATGCGCTTGCCAACAATTTCCGTGGGGTAAACCAGGTCTTCGAGAATGGCGTCGTGCACGGCAGTGAGGGTCCGGCTCCTTGGTCTGGAGACGGCGGCGCCCTTCCTCGGCGGCCTCAAGATGCGCCTGGTTGCGATCAAGATCACGTCCTAAAGTACCACGCAAAACTATTAACGAGCTGGCCTAGAAAAGTTTGGAAACCATAGCTTACCTTGCCACTGAATTTCTTCTCGAGCTCACGCACCAGTCTGGGTTGGATCTTCTGATACGCCTTTCTCAAGCGGTAAGGTACGTGGATCACGACCGCCTTGCGATTGCTGGACACGTCAATTTCCCTGCGAAGAATAAACACAAGCTTAGAGCTCACGAATGATTTCAAAGAATTAACATACTTTGCTGAATTGATAGAGAGGTCGCGCAAGTCGCCTCGGAGCTCCTGATTAGCGCCCTCAAGCTCTGATAGCGCCTGAGCAAAAACAAAAGGGACTTACTTCATGCAATGCCTCACTAGATCTCTCCCAAACCTGCGCAACCGTGAGCTCGAAAGCATCCGGCTCCTGGCCCTCCTCCTTCTGGATCTTCTTGCGCGCAGACATTGTGGCGGCTCTCTACCTGCAAACGCGAATTTAGAACGAAATCCATCGCCAGCGCCAAACTTGCCTCGCGCTTTGCCGAGAGAGGACGCGCCGCAGCCGACGAAAGAGGGAGCTAAACCCTAACTCGGCCGCCTCCAGTAAACCCTTAGGTTTATAAGCCACGTAGGATCACCGTTGGATCATAGCGATGCGAAGATCTTACGGTCTAGGGCAAACCCTCTAGGGTTAGGTCAAAATAAGAACAGAGCATTTTCAAATTCTTAGTTTTCGCGCTACCAGCAAAGCTCGAGCTCCGGATGAACGTCTTGCCCCAATCTCTGGTACTTCCCTGCCAATTTCCCTCCTCCTCCTCCTCCTCCACTGGCGCCCAATTCCTTGCGGATCTGCGATTCGTGCTCTTGCTGCCACACCTTCAATCGCCGGATCTCGTCGCGGAGGTACTCGGCGTACTGCGACGCCGTGCAAATCCTCCCTCCGTAGAAATCCCATCCATCCTTGCCTCCCCACTTCCCATTCCCGCCTGGGCGGCTCACTTTCACCGAGGCGCCTGGATCGAGCGTGAGATTGCATCCCTCGGCCTCGGGAACTTCCAGCACGGTCTGATGATCCGGCGCTGCTGCTGCTGCTGCTGGTGCTACTTCTCCTCCTCCAGTAACTTTGTTCTTCGAGACTCCTTTGGTGTTGGAAGCTGGCGGGGGATTTCTAGCAGCCGTGGCGTCTTGCTTCCTCTGGAATCCTCCCGGGAAATCGAGCAGCTGTTCCTTTCCTCCCCGGTACCGCTTTGGAGAGGCCTTCTGCCCGTCGTTGGCTTTGCCATCCGCCGAGGCCAGCTGCTTGCGAGCATCCGTCAAGTAGCGTATCAAGTTGTTGCAAATCTCCCACGTCGAGCTGCAAGATCCCTTCCAGATGGGACCCTTTGGAGCGATGGGCTTGCTCTTGTCCTCTTTGAGAGCTTGCATATGGTGCGAGAGCTGCGATTCCAGTTCTTGGAGTTCCTTCTGGATTGATGCCTGGTTACAAAGAGATCACTGTTTAGATCGAGGTGGGAAGAACGAAAGCTGCAAACCTGGAGATTTTGTAGCTTCTTCACGCCAGACCACCTCGAAAACTCGCGAGGATTGGTGTTCTGCCTCACTCGGTTCTCCCAAGCGAGATAGTCTCCCTTGCCACCGGACGATCCCCACGCTTTCCTGTGCTTGCCACCGCTACCAGCGGCACCACTATCGTCTTTCTTCTTCCTTTTCGGGGACGGAGCCGACCTGTTGGAATCCACGTCGTTCTTGAAAGCCGAGGACTTCTTCGTCGGATCCACCGATCCATTCTGTCCACCCGACCTGTTCTTGCGGAGAGCATGCATCTCCCACCGGAAGAAGCAGCGCTCGAGCAGCCTCCTCTGCCCGACTCGCCGGATCCACCACGGGAGTGCGCTGACCATCTTCTCGAGCGAAGTTATCATCGAGATGGCCTTCTTCTCAAGACGAACAGCTCGAGCATACGCTCGCCAGGCCGTCATCACAGCCGGAACCACTGACTGATTCTTATCGCCCTCCGAGGTCGAGCAAACACACGTCTTCTTCTTACACCCCGAGCAAGTCGACGACGACGACGACTTATGGCTGCCATTCGGTCGCTCGCTCTCGGTATCCTCTAGCTTCTTCGCCATGATATCTGACTTGAGAGCCTCGGCAGCCCAGCGCCACTTCCATGCCACCCATTTCTTGAGCTTTCCCAAGTCCCGTTTGACGCTGGAGCAAGCTTTGGATGTCTTAGCTTCGTATTCGAGCAGCTTCTTCTTCTCCTCCTCTTCATCTGGATCGTAGCGAGCGTCTTCTTTCATCGAGGCCCCGAGTGTGTTCATGTGTCCTTTGAGCTTCCGGAGCTCGTCTGGTCGTCTAGCTCCCCTTGCAGAGGAGCGGCCTTCCGAGGATCCATGCGTGGAAGTTCCCTGAGACAAGCTTGGAAAACTTGTGCGAGAAAACCTTCATGTTTACCTCGTGAGAATGAGAGCACTGATCTTGCCCCTCGTCGTGTTCTTCGTCCTCGTCCACGTTGCTCGCGGCCTCTTTCATCTCGTTAAGTTTGCTTTCGTGCACCAGCTCGTTGCACCTGTCCATCAGTGTTGCAAGTTCCATCTGTTAGAATCACCATCGTTAGAAGCTCGCTCCCACACAAACGAGAGAAGACAGGAAGAAAGAAGAACACGCGAACGAAGAAAAGATATAGTTTTACCCGAGTGCTTTTATGTTCTTGCTCGACAAACCGAACGAACCTCGATCGCATGCTTCACTGCTCGCTCCTCTTGCACTTGCTTCTCTAGATTCCGGAGCTCCATCCGATGGTCGCGCTCCAGAGAATGCATATGTTTCTTCTGGGACGCCTGGAGCTCGGCAATCCTGGCAAACTCGTTGTGGAGCTTACCGAGCTGTTCTCTCTGTGTGGCCACTTCCTCGTTCTTTCGAGCGAGCTGTGGTTACAAGCCATCAAGAAAACCGTAGAGAAATGCCGAAGAACGCTCCATACCTCTTTGAGAAGCCTTCTTTCAGCTCGATCATGGCGCGATTCAGCAGAGCGCTCGGATTTACTTGCCTCGGATCGCCCGGATCTTGACGGCGCTCTGCTCGATTCAGCTCTCTCGGAGCTCTTGCCCTTGCTGCCCCTAAAGAATTTCATCCTCGAGGGAGCCCTAATCCTTCATCTCCAAAAACGGTACAATGACGTGGCAAGTGCTTTTACCGTTATTTGTGTCCACGTGGCAAGGATAAAGCCCTAAGGGTTTAAAGCTAAAACCCCCGGGAATGCTCTGGCTATGGCGGCCACTCTCGCGTCCTCGTGACTGTGGCGGGGAAGAAGCGGCGGCGGCCCCCTGAATCCAGGTATGAGTATTTCCAGGATGGCGCTTCAATCCGGCGCCTCGACTTCGCCGTTGTCGGGCAATCGGCTGCTTCTTCGATCAAACCCTGATTATCTCTTCCAGCAGCGCCGCATTTTCCCAGCTCACTGTTCTTCGTCTTCATCCTCCACTCCCGCGCCTGCCGATGACCAAAATCACCAGAACAGCAGCGGCATTGCTAGGGTGAGGACGCTATCTCAGCGACGAAGAGAGCTCCCTTGGCAGACGAGACCAGACGAGGGAGCTGCGGGCAATTTCAATGGAAATCTAGGCTTTGGAGCTCCAAGTCCGCAGAGAACTCCATGGGATCAGAGCACTCCAACGCCACTGGCGAACAAGTCGAACAGATTCCCCCGGCCCAAGCCCGACGCTGGAAATGGGAGCTCCCACTCTCACATGCTCAACATTGTGGAGAAGCTGCGCGCTATCGAGCGGAAGCAAAGGAGCTACAGCACCCACGTGGTTCCACCGGATACTACTGCCGCTCCATTCTCTGAAAGCTCGAGCCTGGAGGGCAGGGACTCTACCAGCCAGCAAGGGAGCTTTCCATGGCAGCGTGAATCATCGTCCGAGGCACCGACTCCTGTGACGCGACCGCAGCCGCCAAAGCTTCCATGCCTGGCGGAGCTAACGATTCCGGAGCTGGAGCTGAGGAGATTGCAACGCATTGCTATCCGGGTTGTCAATCCGATCAAAGTCGGCTATCTCGGGGTCACCAAAGCAGTCGTTCAAGATATCCATCGCCGCTGGCAGAAATGCGAGGTAGTGAAAATCCAGTGCGATGGTCCGGCAGCGATAAACATGAAACAAACGCACGAACGAAACTAGAGGTAAATGGCTGTCTTTTCTATTTTCTCTTTTTTCATTAGCAGTTGCGCACTTCCGTGGTTCTTTATAATTTGGGTTGCTGGGTAGACCAAAAAACTGGTGGCTTAGTAGTATGGAGAACTGGAGGAATGGCCATTTATATCGGGGGAAAGGATACTTTGCTCGCGTTGACAACTCTATGGTGGCGAACTTGAAAAAATATCAACGGAGAAAGATAAATTTGATGGAGGCTATAAAGATCAGAGATGAGGACGAGGATCGTGACTACAGCCAGTCAGAGCATGGAGAAGCTCGGCGGGATTCCGAGAAAGGCAACATTGAAGACGAATACTTGGATGAGATTGATGCTCTCTTGGAGGAGCTTGGTCCACGTTACGATGATTGGATTGGAAGAAAGCCCGTGCCTGTTGATGGAGATTTGTTGCCAGCGTCTGTTCCCGGATACAAGCCGCCGCTCAGGATGCTGCCGTACAGAGCCAAAAAGAACTTGTCAAACATGGAGCTGACAGTCTTACGAAGGCTTGTGAAACCGCTTCCTCCACACTTCGTCCTTGGTAAATGACTGAGTGCTTGAAATGGTGCTAACGTAGCTTCGTTTCAATTGTGGCAACAGGTCGGAACCGAGGATTACAAGGCTTGGCTTCTGCTATTTTGAAACTGTGGCAGAAAAGCGAATTAGTTAAAATCGGTCTGAAAAGAGGTGTTCAAAACACGAGGAATCAGCTCATGGCTGAAGAACTGGAGGTATGTGTGACTTTCGCTCGTCATGAATTGATTTTTGCTGTTACAGAGGCTTACCGGAGGAGTTTTACTCTCAAGGGACAAGTTTTTTATCACTTTGTACCGTGGGAAGGACTTCCTTCCAACGTCAGTGGCAGCTGTACTTAGAGAACGCGAGTCAAATATGAGAGAACTCCTTCTCAAAGAGGATCAAGTTCGAATACCAGCGCAGATCGGTGATGGACAAAACAGAACGACACCTGTATCAGGTTCACTGAGCGAGTCAATGGAGATGAGGAGGCAATGGGAAGCACAGAGAAGCGAGAAAGATGACGAAATGGACAGGAATTCCGCAGTTGTAGCTCTGAAAGTGAGGGAACAGAAGCGATTGGAGGCAAAACTTGCTGCGGTAAGCTGTCCCTTGTGTAAACTTGTAGCGAGGTACTGACCGTGGACGTTGCAGGCCATATCCAAGAAAAGGAGAGCTGACTTGCAGATAGTGAAACTTGAGCGATCTTTGCTGTTGTCTGAGCATCCTCGCGATCGGGAGACCATCACGGAAGAGGAGCGTTACATGTTTAAGAAGCTGGGACTAAGGATGGACGCATTTCTACTTATCGGTAAATTGTCTTTGTTTTTTCTAGATCTTTTGTGAGCAAGAACCATGTATGCAGGTAGACGAGGAGTATTTGATGGTGTTATTGAAAATATGCATCTACATTGGAAACACAGAGAGTTGGTAAAGCTTATTCTCAAGGAGAAAGATAAGGCGATAGCTTTGGAAGTGGCGAAGATGCTGGAAATTGAAAGCGGTGGCATCTTGGTGGGAGTAGTAACTACGTCCAAGGGTCAAGCGATTATTGTGTACAGGGGGAAGAATTACCAACGTCCAGCTGAATTAAGACCGCGTAGCCTGCTCACGAAACGCAAAGCTTTAGCTCGATCTAAAGAAATCAACGAAAGAAGGTGTGCTTTACATTTTTTCTTTCTTTTTTTCTCGTCGTCTAAGCACTTTTTCTTACTTTCTTTTTACAGGCTCTTCAACTCCATATCGAGAAGCTCGAGGAGCTGATAATGAAGCTCCGAAAAGACTACGTAAGTACTCCCGCGGCAGTAGCTTTTAAAGTTTCTGGTTCTCACCAACAACCAACTCATTGGAATTTTTACAGGACTATCTTCTCAAGAGCAATGCTCTGCCAGACACACCGCATAGTGCGCTGTACAAGGCGATTGATTCCAAGGTACGTAAGCTACCAACCAAACTTTTTCTCATACAATGTTCGATTCAAATCTTTCGTCGATGCGTAACTTTGCTTTCTCGCTTGTACAGTACCAAGAGGATGATATAGATGGCGAGTTGTTGGCCGACAGGAAGAAGCTCCACCACGACGACGATGATGAAATGGCCTACAGCGACGATCTGCTCGACAGTGAGATTAGCAGTGATGGCAGCGAGTCCGAGGCTGAGCGATTCCGTCCTCCTGAAGAGGCCGGTGACGACGAACAGGAGGAGGAAAGTGAGTGGGATCTCGAATCCGAGGAGGACGAGGACGATTGAATTCTCAGAAAAGGCGACGGTGGTGCATATACGGTAGCAAGAAGAGAAGCTCAACACGTGGGGTGAAGTAAAAACTTGACTGTGTCTCCCCGACAACGAGGACAGCAAGTTTTTTCTTTTGGTGCCCCTCTATTGGGTGAGGCGGACCGCTTCACGATCGAGAAGTGGGGGTGACTATTCTGGATCCGGCACAGTCCTAGCTGAGCATGAATGGATTCGTGGACATGAATCAGAAGATCGACTATGTCTTCAAGGTGGTTCTGATTGGGGACTCGGCAGTAGGAAAGTCGCAGCTGCTAGCCAGGTTCTCCAGGAACGAGTTCACTCTGGAATCCAAGGCAACGATCGGCGTCGAGTTCCAGACCCGGACCATGGTGGTGGATCACAAGACGATCAAGGCACAGATCTGGGACACCGCCGGTCAAGAGAGGTACTTCTAGCCTTAGAGAGTTTTTTCCTCTTCCAAAATCACATTTTTATTAGCGCTCATCGATCAAACTACCAGGTACCGAGCGATTACCAGTGCGTACTACCGCGGAGCAGTGGGAGCGCTGGTGGTCTACGACATCACCAAGCGGCCAACGTTCGAGCACGTCACAAGGTGGCTGGAGGAGCTCAAAGTTCACGCTGACAACAACATCGTGGTGATGCTGGTGGGTAACAAATCCGATCTAGGCAACTTGCGAGCGGTGTCTGTGGAGGAAGCCAAGGATCTGGCCGAGAGAGAGGAGCTCTTCTTCATGGAGACGTCGGCCCTGGAAGCCACCAACGTCGACAGCGCTTTCTTCTCGGTGCTCACGGAGATTTACAGGATTGTCAGCAAGAAGAGCCTCTCCGAGGGCGCTGGTGGTAGCCAGCAAGTTCCAATACCGGGGACAACACTCCTCCTGTCCGAGAAGAAAGAGTCCAAGACCGGGTGCTGCTAAAGTTTTTGCATTTGTACCGTGCGGTACCGTCAGAACGCTTGAAAAAACACGTTTCATGCCGCGCAAGGTGCCGTCAAGCTCTTTGTCTTTGTACCGCGCGGTACCGTCGGAACGCTTGAAATAAAGACTACGTTGTTTCGTACCGCGCAAGGTAGCGAGCGGTCAATGGCTTACAATGTGCCGCACGGTACTGTCGAATCTTGCATTTTACCGCGCGGTACTGCGGGCAAGGTCGTTACTTAGGGCTGATTTGGTGCCAGAGAGAAATTGAAAGAAACTAAAAACGTCCCTCTCTCTGGAAAGGCGCTGACGAGCAGTGAATGATCGGCCTAAATGCTCCACTCCATCCAAATGCCCAGAGTAGAACAAGAGGCATTGCGGTGGGCGATCCACAGATCCTTGTCAAGAGATTTATAGATTTTGTTATTCCAGACTGCGAAGAACAAACGAAAAAAACTAGCATCGATCATTGATCGGTGGATGGACCCGTGATCTAGTTCTAGCAAAAGAGATCTAGTAGGGAGGAGTGGAAGGCGGCGGCGAGCAGGGGAGAGGGGGATTGGGGAAGAACGATTTGGGCGGCAATGGGAAGCACGATGGCTCCTGCGATAGAAACGCCTGGCACTGCTGCGCGGGCCGCTGGAGCGGCCGATTGGGGATGCAATTGCCGCGGTCGTCCACGATCCTCCCCCGCGACGGCAGCGCCAGGCAATCCGGGCTCTCCCCGGAGAAGAAATTCCCCGCGAACGTGAAGTTCTCGAGGTTGGGGAGATCGCAGATCGCCGCGGGCACGTCGCCGGTGAGGAGATTGAACGCCACGTCCAGCTGCTCGAGGCTGATCATCTGCGCGATGCTGGGCGGGAGGCCACCGCCCAGCGAGTTGTAGCTCACATCGAAGACGTTGAGCTGGTCGAGGAGCCCGATCTCGCCCGGGATGCAGCCATCGAATCGGTTGCCGAGGAAGATGATCTCGTTGAGCGTGCGGCGCATGTTGCCGATGCTGGGCGGGATCCCCCCGGAGAAGCGATTGTTCGCGAAATTGGCGACCGAGACGGTGGAGCTGCCCAGATTCCATGGCACCTGGGCCGCGAATTGGTTGTTGTTGACGAAGAGCGCGTCCAGGTGCTTGTCGAAGAGCGCGCCCGGGAGCTCGCCGGAGAAGCCGTTGTAGCGCAGGTCGAGGTAGGCGAGCGATGGCATGGCGAGCGTGACGAGCGGGAAGGGGCCCGAGAACCTGTTGTTGGAGACGTCGAGCTCGTAGAGGAGGAGGAGCGTGGCCATGGATCCGGGCAGCGTGCCGCAGAAGAGATTGGTGTTGATGTGGAAGAGGGCGAGATAGGTGAGGAGGCCGAGCTCCTCGGGCAGCGTCCCCGAGAGAAAGCCGTGGTTTAGATCGATGCCGCTCACCACCTCCTTGCACGAGTCGTCCGGCGCGGGCGAGCAAAACACGCCGCGGTAGCGGCAGACGTCGAGTCCAATCCATGTCGCGGTGATGCCCTGGGGATCGCCCGTGATCCTCGACTTCCATGCCTGGAGCGCAATGTAGGCCGCCTGGAGGCTGGGATTCGGGAATGCCGCTGCCGGCGGCTGCTGGAGGAGCTTTCTTTGAGCCGGATTCTTGGATTCTTGGTGTTCTTGGTGGGACGCTGCGACAATCAAGAAGGCGAGGAGCAAGAACCCTAGGAGGCAATGCGGGGCGGCCATCGCTGCCATCGCTGTTGTTACTGCTGCTGCTACTGCTACTGCTACTGCTGCTGCGAGAGGAAGATGAGAAAAATGATGGAGATTTGTGAGAGACTTTAACGATTCACGATCAATCTTCCCGCTCGAGCAGAGATTTGTGAAGCGCCGTCCTGTCCGCCCAATCCATTGGCATCTCTGCCAGCGCCATTTTCTTGCTCGATTTTGACCTAGCCTTGATAAACCCTCGAGGCAGGTAAAACAGAGGCGACCCGAGTTTTTACCTGGGCCAATCAAATGCCCCGAAAGTGAGTCACGTGTCCTTCTTTGACGGGCTGACGGCCTGGTTCCCAACGCGGACGGCTAGTTAATGGCAAACGCTTGACGGCCTGATGGTCCACCAGTCAATGCCGCGCGGGAAGGAGAGATTTTAAACTTTTAAAGTTTCCAAGTGGTACGGAGATGAGGGCTTGCGTTATATGACATAAATGTAGCCGCGTCTTTCCAGCTAAGAAAAGAAATGGGCTTGGACCCATTGCCATGGCTCAAATATAGCCTACGGACGTGGTGGAATTTAATGAGGATCATAAGGGGCTTGTGTCGCTTGCGGTACTAGGCTACTACATTTCTCACGTTTTAACGCATTAATGTTCTTAGCATACCACTTTGAGTGGAAGTAATTTTTATGATAAATTTAATAACACTTAACATCAAACACAAAAGTACATAAATAGGTATATTAAGATCAAAGAAGTTTACATGTTTTTTAAAATAATTTTTCATACAATTAGCCTTCTAATTTTATATAGCAAGCAATTTGTGATAATAATTTTGAAAAAGAGGTACACCTCAAGGAAGGTGATTTCATAAAAAATTGTTGAAGCTTGCAAAATACATGAAAAAAAAATAGACGTGCTTAAATTGTTGTAATACATATACATAACTTACAAAATAGTATTTTAAACACACTTTATCCATGTATTAGTGCCTACCAAATATGAAATGGTAAAGTCCAAATAGTGTTATATATATAATTTTTTGTGTTGTGTAAATTCAATTCTATATAAGATTTTTTGATATGTCACTAAAGTATAGGCTTTAGGTTTAATGATTGATTGGTGTATAGATTAAAATGTGAAGATGAGCACAAAATCTTCTTTGAATATTTGGGGTGTTGAGTGCAATAGTTTTTTATGAGCAAGTGGGTTTTACTATAGCTGTAGTAAAGTGTTAGTTCTAATTATTTATCATGTTCCTAACCATATATATATATATATATATATATATATATATATATATATATATATATATATATATATATATAGTAAGTATTATAATGATTTGGGCTTAATATGTAAAGTTCTTTCTATTATCCTCACCAATAAAAGTGTTTTAAATATATAGTGCTGGCAAGCTTAGCTCATGGCATCTAAAATGCATTTAAAATTTAACACGCTTAATGAAAAAATGAAAAACATCATATCCACAAACTCTATATTAAGACATTGCAATTTAAATAAGTTGTAAGAAATGAAAAATATTTATAAAGATGATTGAAGCATTATATTTACATTAGTGTGTATTGCAATCAAAATACATTTTTAAATTGCAATAAATGATGCATAGCCACACGGAATAAAAGGCAAATAAAAATGCATATAAAGTAGGAAAAAGATGATCATAATCAAAAGATCACAAATTTATATTCAATAACATGAAAAAACTATTAATATATTTTTTATGATATATTGTTTGAGATAACATGGCATCAATTTTGTGTGGCAGTCAAAGATGTGTAAGCTCTTGAGTTTGGACTTCTCAGCCCAGTATTATTCAAACCCAAGAACACTTAACCTTAAATATCCCAAGACCTTTAACTAATTGAAAAAGGGGGTGTATTTTTGTTCATAAGCCTTTTTTTTTTATATTTAAACCTTTATGGATTACTTTTCGAGTCGTTCTCCTTGGTTGCTTATAAGATGTTACACCTCATACATATATGATATATCCCATAATAAAAATATTATACACATAATCATATTTTAATTGCTTAATAACAATTTAAAAGTGATTATGTGCATAATATTTTTCATGCAATTTAAAAAGAAAAAAATAAATCAGTGTATATGTAAATGTATAATGCTCCCACATACAATTACATATTTATTGCCATAATTTTTCTTTTATATATATATATATATATATATATATATATATATATATATATATATATATATATATATATATATATATATA